CTGTAGGAAGTACAAGTACAGGTCCTGTCACGAGATCTAGATCCCGGGGCGTAACAAATTTGGTATCAGAGCCGCTTGTGATGTCTACTCAACAGGAAGAATTGATGAAGAAGCTAGAAGCATTCATGGTCTAGCAAACTCAGAGTACCCTTGAACTGAAGGGGGCAGTCGAAGCCTTGCAGGCCAAGCATGCGGCGCTGGAAGAGAGTTTATCACAATCCCAAAACAAGGTTAACAAACAAGGGTCTGAAGCAAGCGAGGAAGAAGAAGAGATGGACCAGCAATTTGAAGATAGCAGCGAGCTAGGCCGAGGAAGGGGCAAGGGAATCATCACCGGCAACGCACCAGGAAGCAAGATGACGAGTTCCTTCACGGTGTTAGATCGAGGCAGGGGGTCGTTTGGATCAAACCCCTTGGGAACAGGACGGGGAGTAGGGAAGGGATCGGATTCTTGGCGCAATGCAGAACCACAATCATTTAAACACCGCTGGGATTTCCACAAAGCCGAAGGATCGGGACACAATCGACATATTGAACAAGAACAGGTGCATAAAAGTTGGGATGATTTTGATGAAGGAGGTTACCGTGGCGATCGGGTGCCTAGATTCCCCAAGATGGAGTTTCCGGTATATGAGGGAAAGGGTGACCCACTCGAATGGTTACAGAAGTGTGAGGACTTCTTCGAAGAACAGCAAACACCGCCGGAGGCTTGGGTCCGCCAAGCAACTTTCGCCCTACAGGGACGGGCAAGCGGGTGGTACCGAAACCTGAGAAGGATGAAAAATCGTTTGAATTGGGTCGAGTTTTCGAAAGAATGCAAAATCCGTTTCGGGCCGCCTATGAGCTTGAATCCCTTAGGGGAGTTAACTCGGCTTCGACAAGTTGGGACAGTAGAAGACTACTGTGAAAGCTTCGAATTGTTGTTGGGTAGGACGACGGGGGTCACACCGGAGCAAAGCATTTGGCACTTTTGTGCGGGGCTAACAAACGTGATAAGATATGAGGTTGAATTTGCGAGACCCATAAATCTATACTATGCCATGAATCTAGCAAGACAAATTGAGATAAGGGTGGCAGAAGCAGGACAACCAATAGGTGTCAGGCCTACAGGAAACCAAACCTCGACTGCAAGCCAAAAACGAGAGCCAGCAAGAAAGGGAGGAGCTGGAAACTACAAAACTAAAACACTAAATCCGGCCTGGAAAAAACTAACGACTACAGAAATGGCAGAGAGGCGGGCAAAAGGCTTGTGCTTCGACTGTGATGAAATATTATCGATTGGGCATAAATGTGCCAAGCTCTTTTGCATCATGATGGATAATGAGGAAAACGACACTAATGGGTGACTATTGAGCTTGAGGACAAGCTCAATGTGGAGGAGGGGAGTAATGTTATGAATCATACGAATAATAAGTATTTTATATTTCTGGAAAGTATCTTATTTTAGGAGATTATCTTGTTTCAGTTTTTAATTTGGTAATTATGATCATTTAGTAATTGAGTCGATTTGGGTGATCTTTGTTTCCTTATTATAGTCTTTTGTTTATCCCTATTTAAAGGGTAGTTGTTTATGAAATAAAATTATGCTTGAAGTCAATTGTTTTTAATCTCTTAGAATAGTTTAACCTAGTCTCCTCTCAATAGGAGATTAGGTGTTAGTAATACTCACGACTGTAGGAAGTACAAGTACAGGTCCTGTCACGAGATCTAGATCCCGGGACGTAACAGTTAAAAAAACATTTTTTTAAAAACTAAACGCTATTCGTTATCGTTATTGTTACCATAGAAGATATAATCCACCAAGTCCTCTCGAAGTTGTCTGTGTTTATTTGCGTCATGAATGTCAACGACTCGATGCAAATACTCTGTTGTTTCGTTGTTCCTGGTTGAAACTGAACGTGTCTGGGCTCCGTTGGGATATAGTGTGCAATATTTCGCCCTTTATCTTCTACTACCATGTTATGCATTATGATACATGCATACATGATATATCGTAGAGTTTCTAAATCCAATGGTCGTGCTGCATGTTCAATTATATGCCACTTCGCCTTCAGCACTCCAAAAGCACGTTCCACATCCTTACGTGCTCCTTCTTGTCTTCTCTTAAAAAATTTGTCTCGTTCTTCTACCGGGTGGTGAAATGCCTTCACGAATGTGGAATACTGAGGATATATTCCATCTGTAAGGTAATACCCATACTTGTATTTGTTTCCATTCACCGTGTAAGGAGCATCCGGGGCCTTTCCATTCAAAAGATCGTCGAATATTGGCGACTGATCAATAACGTTGACGTCGTTGTTGGAACCCGCAACCCTAAAAAATGCATGCTAAATCCATAAATCTTGAGAAGCAAGAGCCTCTAGAACCAACGAAGGTGATCCGTGATGACCACTTGCGTATTGCCCTTTCCATGCTACATGCTACAGGACAATTTTTCCATTTCCAGTGTGTGCAATCAATGCTTTCGATCATTCCAGGAAACCCATGGCGTTCTTAATGCGCCACATACAATTCTTGCAAATCATGCAACGAAGGTTTCCGCAAATACACGTCTCCAAATGTTTCAACAACACCCCTTGACAATGTATACAAACTCTCCCTTGCGGTTCTTTCAGACGTTCTCATATAGTCGTCCATGGTGTCGGGTGACTCCCCCATAGCCATCAAACGAATGGCCGCAACACATTTCTACAACGTTGTAAACC